TTAGTTAAGAAGTTGCGTTGGCCATTCATCCCCCACTTATGGAAGTGGGAGTCTTCTGGCTGTTTAGGATAAATTTTACTCATTCTAAATTAGTTATTCGAGCAATAAACTTTATTAGCTAACTCTTGTTCTTAAAAAATGAGAATGTGGGCTACAGTTTGGTTGTTTATCAGTTCGCCGATGCAATAAAAACTAAAATAAGAAAAAAATATGGAAAAAAGTTATTACTCTGGGTTAGGACGATGAAAACAGGCCACCGCTCGTGTTTATCTTCACCCAGGAACAGGTGAAGCCCAAGTCAACGGGAGGAAATTAACTGATTATTTTATAGTTGACTCGTGATTAAAGGAAGTTATTTATCAACCACTAAAATTGTTGAGTAAAGAAAAAGATTATAGATTGTCAGCACGAGCCAGAGGGGGTGGTTTCAGTAGCCAAGTTAAAGCAATAAGATTAGCCACCGCCCGCGCCTTACTAGAAGTTTCTCCGGAATATAAAACCATTCTAAGGAGTTTTGCTTTATTAACTTGTAATACCAAGTTCTTAGAAAGAAATAGAATAGGTTTTAAAAAATCCCGCAAAAGACCACAATGACGCAAACGTTAGTTTAATTGTAGTTTTGCTGGTTGCTCAAAATTTCGAGCACAGGCTTTTGGAAATTGATGGATTAAATTAACAAACTAACTGAGATATTTAGTAGTCAAATAAAAATTGATATTGATGTTTATAAGAGGCTTCCTCGCTGCTTATTACTATATAAATTATACAATTCGTATATGTGTTTTTTATAAAAAGAATAGTAAAAATTTAATATGACGCTTTCTCCTTCAATACTCACCAATAATTTCTCACCAGAAATAAAGCAAGAAAATCCATTATCAGTAATTTTTAAAGAGGGATTTTTTCCTTTTAATGCTAAACTAAAAATGGATGGTTTGGCTTTATTAAAATATCTGAAAAATTGTTCGGCTAGGGTAATTTTTTTTGATCCACAATACCGGGGAGTGTTGGAAAAAATGAATTACGGCAATGAGGGTGAAAGACAAATAGAAAGAAGCAAATTGCCACAAATGAGCGAAGAAGTAATAATTTCTTTCGTGAGACAGATTGACCGCGTGTTAACTAAAAGCGGGCATCTTTTCCTATGAGTAGACAAGTTTCATCTTTGTGAGGGAATTTCCGCTTGGCTAAAAAATACTGAATTAGCTATTGTTGACATGGTAGTTTGAAATAAAAGTCGGATTGGTATGGGGTATCGCACCCGTCGGTCTAGTGAATATCTACTAATCCTCCAAAAAACCCCTATTAAAAGCAAAGGAATCTGGAAAGTTAAAAATATTCCGGATGTTTGAACCGAAAAAGTATTCCAGAAAGATCACCCTCACCAAAAACCCCGAGATTTACAAAAAGTTTTAATTGAGGCGGTTTCTAACCCCGGCGACCTTATTGTTGATCCGGCTGCCGGCGGTTACTCGGTATTGGAAGCTTGCTTACTCACCAACCGAGTTTTTTTAGGTTGCGACCTAAATTAATCAATATTATGCAAATAGTTAATGCTAAACCGGGCAGAATAGATGGCGGTTATACCCGAGTGTTTGACAATGAACAATTGGGAGCACTAATAAGCAGAGTTCATTCGGCTTCTATCTCTTCAGGCCTTGAATTAGAAAAACTTATTTTGGAAAAAAGTGATTTATTTTTAGTCCAAACCACGGAAGAGATGGAAAAGTTGCTTACTAATGGCGAAAAGTTTGATAAAAAAGTAAATAATTGAGAAAACAATCCCGAACGAGTAAGCCATTTTGTTCTGCCTTACAAACTCTTTATTAATTTTGCTCCTGGTAATGTGTATTATCGGTGAGAGTTTAAGCATATTAATGCTAAATACGAAGTTA